CCCCTGTCCCAGGTCCCCACCCTCTGGGACCTGCAGCCCTACATGCTCCCCGCCCCCCTGTCCCAGGTCTCCACCCTCTCGGACCTGCAGCCCTACATGCGCCAGTTCGTGGAGCACCTGCAGGACAGGATTGCGCTGAGGGACGCCGTCGTCATTGAGCAGGTCCCTGAGCCTGGTGGGCATCTGTGTGGGCTTCCCAGCACTGGGTGGGGCCGCTCGGCTTGCCCTATGGTGGGGACGAGGCCACGGCTACCATGCACAGCTGCAGAGTCCCCCTCTTCGCTGGCCATGCCAGGCCTGGGCCTCTGTCTTGGGCCACGTGTCCTCTTCCCACCTGGCCAGGCTCCCCTGTTCTCAGTTGCTGTATCTGAGACTTGGCAGAAGTGTCTGCCCCCTCAGCTTTGACCTCAAGGCCGTAGGGAGAAGCCCCTTTCTTTGGAGGACAGTCAGGGTTTGACCTGTGACCCACCCACCTTGGCTTGACCCTTTGTCTTGGGCCGAGACCCCCAGGCCTCCAATAGTACAGGATTGGCTCGTGTAGTTCTTTGCTCTTTACAGAATCTTCTAGTGCTTCCTTAGTCTTAGGGGACAGTGGCACCCACTCTGAGGCCCCTGGGTGAGTTTCCTTGGCTCTCCAGGGAGTCATGTGGGTCAGGTCCAGTGTCTCAGGGGCCAAAACAGGCGACACTCACTGTCCAGTAAAGTCTGCAGACACCAGCAGCCTGTGGCAGATTCTGTCCCAGCTGCAGATGGGCCCTGGCCCTGGCCCAGCCCAACTTCATGAAAACCTGACCCCGGTAGGGAGCCCCGTTCCTGCCCCAGCCACACGTGCATTCTGACGGCCATCACCCGCCCCCGTCTGCTTGTTTTCCAGAGCTGCTCTCTGAACGAGACCAGCACCAACCTGTTTGACTTCTTCCTGAGGTTTGTACGCAGCAGTGTGGTGAGGATCGGCGGCAGGTGAGTGCAGCCGGCCGCCCACCCTGGGGTCTTCATGCGTCCAGCAGCTGCAYCCAGGGGGCCTGTGGGTGGACCAGCCTGTTCAGGTGGGCTTGGCTGTGCACTTGGGCCTTGGGCCTGTGCACGTGAGCCCCGTGTCTGGCGAGGGCAGAGCACCAAACCTCCGCTGCTTTTAGTGCCTCCAGCAGAGCTCCCTGGCCTCGTGTCTCCCATGGCGGAGGAGCAGACCGACCTCTGCAGCTTGGAGCTCCTCTCTGGGGAGTGGGGGTTGAGGTACTCGGCTCCTCCTGGGGGCCTGAGCTGGTGGCAGGARCAGGACTGGCCCCAGGCAGCCATGGGAGAGCCAGGCACAGAAGTGGCAGGTAGAGCAGAATCCAGGGCACACATGGGTGGTCCGAGGTCAGGCTGTGTCATTCCCACGCTGGGCACACGTTCTGGATGTTTTTAGTGAGGAGCACAGTATTTATCATGTAAGGATCAGTGCTGCCACTTATCTTACTGTGAGTGCTTGCAGCATTGGTTACGAGGTAATTAGAAATGTAGAGTATGGAGGGCTGGAGTTGGGGTTCAGTGGTAGAGTGTTTGCCTAGCATGCGTGAGGCACTGGGTTCAATCCCCGGCACCACATAAAAATAAAAAAACAAAAGTATTGTGTCCATCTACAACTAAAAAAAAAGAAAGAAACCTGGAGTATGCTTCTGGGGAAAGCACAAATTGCAAGTGTGTAGCATGCTGAATTGTTTTCTAATATATATATATATATTTCAGCTGTTGACGGACCTTTATCTTATTCGTTCATTTATATGTGGTACTGAGAATGGAACCCAGAGCCCCGCACCTGCTAGGCAAGTGCTCTGCCACCGAGCCACAGCCCCAGCCCTGCATGCGACATTTGGACAGGCTGTGGAGAGCTTTCCTGTGTCCTCACCAGGCAGCACCATGGGAGGCCCGCGGCTGGCTGAGCACTGGCCCTGGTCTGCGGCGCAGCCCCTGGAATCGGCCTGGTGCCTGTGCTCAGGTGGCCTGTCTAGCAGGGGCCACCTGCCGTTTCCCAGCAGTGGCCCAGGGCCACCTCTTCAGTGGACTCAGAGCCCTGCCCAGCTGGCCCACCCTGCTCACAGGCCTCCCCGAGGGTCTCCTGCCCTGCCACAGAACCCATGCACCCTGCGCCCTGGTTTGGCTGCACTCGTGAGAGAAGGCTGGCTGTGGCCACCACACAGAGTGCGGTGTGTGTCCAGAGTGGACACACTGTTCTGGGAGAGGGGTCCCAGATGAGCGGTCCCTTTGGTTCAAGAGTCAGGCGGAAGCTCGGTGGTAGAGCGCTTGCTTAGCATGGGCGGGCCCTGGGCTCAGTCCCTGGCACCCAAGAAGTAACCCCTGCAGAATGCTCTCAGCTGTGGCTGCCTGAACATAGTTCTTAAAGTTAACAAAAGTCACAGTGAGTCAGAGGGCACAGGCACTGCCATCCCAGTCCACAGCAAAGATGGGAACCACCGCGAGTGGCATAGGACCTCGCAAACTGGCACTTCATGGGGTGTGCAGGCCAAGGGGCCAACACCATGGTGCGGGTGGGGCACGTGGGTGTGGTACGTGTGTAAGTCTGTGTGCCATGTGTGTGTCCACGTGTGCAGCGTGTGTGTGTAMGTCTGTGTGCCATGTGTGTGTCCATGTGTGCAGCGTGTGTGTAGCCATGTTCCTGTGTGCACGGGGTAGGCCTGTCTGCATGTGGTTTATCTGTGCACATGTGTGTGTCACGTCTGCGTGCACGGGTGGCATGTGTGTGTGCTGGATATGAGCATGAAGCCGGCCTTGGCCCATCTGCCTCCACCCTGCGTCCCCCAGGTACTATGTGCAATGCCGGGGGATCCCCCAGGGCTCCGTGCTGTCTACCCTGCTCTGCAGCCTGTGCTACGGGGACATGGAGAACAAGCTGTTTGCCGGGGTGCAGCAGGACGGGTATGGCTCTCCCCTGAGCACAGGCCTCTCTTCCCACTTGGTATTCACTGGACCTCACAGTCGCCTAGTCTTGGAGAGCCAGACAGGTCCTGCCCTGAGGTTCACATGAAGTCACCACGGAGGCTGCACACAGCCTAGAGAGCTGGCGAGTCCAGTCTGTGATGGGCGACAGGTGCTCAGTGTGCCTCACGGCAGCTCAGCAAGGGACAGTCGGGCCCCAGGACCCTCCAGTCCATTGGTGGTCCCCGGGGCCTTGGGACTGGGGCTGGCAGAGCCAGGGAGCTCGTTCCCCAAGCACTTTGTGCCTGGGTGGCAGAGACCTTGGACCCTGGCTGTGTCCAGCTTTGCCCTAGCAGCACTGGGGACTGGTCCAGAGACACTGGCACTCCTGAGTGTCGGGGTGTCCCGGGCGAGTCGACCCCCAGGGCTCTGGTAGACAGGTGACTCCAGGAAAGCAGCAGTGTCTCTTGGGAGGCGTGGGGAGGTGGCAGGGACCTCACCTGCGCTCTCTGCGACTCACGGCCAGGGTCCCGTCTCCAGGTTTTGAGAACACAGATCTGAATGTAGGTTCCACTGACGGCCAGGGTCCGGTCTCCAGGTTTTGAGAACACCGATGTGAATGTAGGTCCCGCTGACGGCACACTGCGGGGCCTCCACTGAGGCCTGGGGGACCCTGAGCTGGGGCTCACAGCTCTCCCTGGTGGCTGAGAACTGCCCTCCAGGCCCAGGGCCCACCAGGCTCCAGGGACTGAGAATCGGGCTGTGCCTGGTGGAAGGCCAGGCTYGTCCCTGTCCAGCGTGGATCCCATGGACCTGGGCTGTGGCGTGTGCCTGCTCCAGCAGGTCATCGCAGAGGCCGCTTGTTAGGAGGCTGCTTCTCGTCCATGTGGATGCACGTTTAAAACGGTGGCTACGACTCCCTGGGGCGTGTGGGTCAGGCCCTGCGTGTCCCTTCGTTTCAGGGTGCTTCTGCGACTGGTGGACGACTTCCTGCTGGTCACGCCTCACCTGGCCCAGGCCAGAGCCTTCCTCAGGTGGGTCCTCACGTGGTCCCACTGGCTGATGTGATTCGTTTAATCCAGGAGGGTTTGTGTGCCTGGAGCCTAGGTTATCCCAGGGCCTGATGACGTCCCATGGACACGGCTGACCGGCRCCTGGCTGTGTAGCCAAGTCGGGAATGCGGGTAGTCCCCAAGAGCTTGGCTCCTGGGCGGCGCCGAGCCTCATGAGTCGTGCACACAGCAAACCGATGGTACTCAGAAAGYCTCAGATGCAGCAGGCGGTGGCACCTGGCACGCCCAGAGCCACCTGCAGGGGACTGCCACCTCCCGAGTGTGTCGTGAGTCCAGGCTGCATTCCAGCCCTGAGTGGGAGGCCCTGGGCTTGCATCTGTGAGTCGTCCTGCCTGACCAGACGGCGAGGAAGAGGCCAGAGTGTGGACTTAGCGCAGTGGCCATCTGAGGCCAGGGCCCAGGGCTTGGGGAAGGGTCTTTTCCTCTGACAGTCCCTGGTTACATGTGAATGGGCACAGTGTGCCATTTCAGTTTGTTTTTGTGGGCAGACCAGGGCCGTGGGCACATCCCAGGGTTGGCCTTGAAGCTGAGTCTCRTGGCTCCTGTCGGAATCGGGCTGCCACCGTGAGTCCCCACGGGTGCCTCGCCTGCGACTGGTCTCTGGGCCCGTGAAGGGGAGCTTGAGTGAGGAGATGGACCCCTGGGGGAGGCTTGCGGGAGGTAAGGGCTGCCGCTGGGCTGTGGTGGGTCCACGCTGCACGCCGTCCAGTCCTGCGTTGGCCCTCAGCGCTGCCAGGGCTAGTGCTGTCCAGCAGTGTCCTTGAGCTAAAGGGCCCCAGATGTCCAGTTCACTAAGTTAGGTCAGAGGACCCTGCAGGTTCACAGCACTCAGGAGCCATGCAAGCAGTGGCCACCAGGGGTAGGGGACACTGTTTCCCTGGTGTGGTTTGGGAGGATGGCTCTGCCCTGGGGCCCTGGTCAGGGAGGGAAACCTGGGTGGACAGCAGGTCCTACTGGGAGACAGGATGGCAGGGTGGGCTCCCCCTCCCAGGACAGGCCACTCAGTAGGGGGAGGCTCCATGGTAGACGGAGGCCTGGCCCTGTGGGTGTGTGAGATGAGCCCTGGCAGAGGGTCCTGGGGCCCTGTCCTGCCCAGGACCCAGGACTGGAGCTGGAGGGTGGGGACACCTTGGACCAGGCTGGCTCTCGCCGGCCCCAGGATGCCTGGGGCTCAGGGGGCAGCAGCCCCATCCTGTGGCTGACGCTGCCTTCTGGCTCAGGGCCCTGGTCCAGGGTGTCCCCGAGTACGGCTGCCAGATAAACCTGCAGAAGACAGTGGTGAACTTCCCCGTGGAGAGCGAGGCCCCCAGCGGCGCTGCCCCGCTGCAGCTGCCCGCTCACTGCCTGTTCCCCTGGTGCGGCCTGCTGCTGGACTCGCAGACCCTGGAGGTGTTCTGTGACTACTCGAGGTGAGTGGCCCTGGCAGGTGAGGAGTTAGCCCGTCAGAGCAGGCGGCCCTGAGGGCCGGTCCAGTCCTGTTGGCGGGACAGGAATCTGGGGACCAAGATGTTAGAAGCTGGTGCCCTTCAACCCAGGGGTGGACAGAGGTGCATCTTCCCGTGGGTGCACAAACACTGGGCACAGGAGCTGTTCACTGGGCAGTTTGGCAGAAGGACACTGTAGATTCAGGGCACCAGTGTGTGCCCAGCCTGAACCAGCCTGGAGGTCCTGGCTGCACACGAGTGTCTAGGGGGACACAGGCTTCAGCCCACCCTGGCCTTCTGGTTGCCAGGATTCCAGGTGACTGGGCTAGGGTCAGCAGGGCTCCCGCCTGGTGGGTGTCTGGAGACATGGTGCCGTCTCACCAGAGCTCATGGTGCAGCCTCGGCCCACACAGACGCCGTGACTCRGGACACACAGGGACAGACATCTGGGCCATCTCTTGGGAGTAGAGATGCAGAAATCCCCAGGTTGCAGTGGAGGGCGGTGCGACTGTTCCTGCCCTGGCGATTCTGGCCACCCTGGGCCTCGCGGTCCAGAGCCAAGCTCTGTCTTCAGTAGAGCTCTTTGGTGAGACGGTGGTTCTCTCTTTCTGGAGAACTGACTGGAGGGAGAGAATGACTTCCACCTTCACCTTGCACCATACACTGAAAGACGCAGGTAGAGGGTGTCCAGTGTGAGAAGCATGGACGCAGGAGTGAGCTGACCCCAAGGGAGCGCAGCAGGACGTCCCCAGGGAAGCCGAGAGTGCAGCGCCCTCACGTCCTCCCTGACCAGCCTCTGCCTGTGCTGCCGTCCCTTGCTCACTTGGCCCATGAGGAAGGGTGACGCGGCACACCCTTGGTCACCACCCGGCCCCCAGCCCTCGCTCTGCCCAGTCCTCACAGCCCAGACGCCAGCCCTGGGGCSGACTGGAAGAGGCCGGGTTGGGAGCAGCTGGGAGGTTGGGGCATTTTCCTGTCCACCTGCAGGTCTGGGCGGAGGAGATGGCCAGAGACTCAGGGGGCGCCTCTCGGCCGTTTCTGAATGCTGAGGTGCCGTGCCTTGCCAGGACAGGTCACCCATCAATCTGTCAATGGCTTGGGAGGGACTGTGGGCCCCAGAAAGAAGCCTTGTTCTGCCACTGGCCTCGGGCAACACCTGGTGATGTGGAAGGCCGCTTCCAGCATCAGAGTCCAGAGCCGGTGTCAGCAGACACATCCTGGCGTGCAAACTGTGTGTCATGCAGAGACAGCCAGGGGCAGGAGGGCACTCTTCCTGTGTCCTGCGCACGTCCACCTGTGTCCTGCGCACGTCCCATCCCGGGGCTGTGCCTGGCGAGAGTGTCAGTTGGACAGCACTGGCAGGCGCTGTCACCGGGCTGCCGGTCTCTGCCGGGGCTTCAGGCAGAGGGCTGTGCCACACAGGCAGGAGCCACGCCTGTGCAGGGGCGGCTGCTGGTGAGCTCTGTCGGTCATGTCGCTGACAAGTGGACATCTGGGGTGATCCCAGGCTGGGGTACAGTCGTGCTGTTGGCCAGGTCCTGGCAGGAGCAGGCCGGGCAGGGCCTGGTTCGAGTGGCATGAGCCATGAGCCAGCAGGTTCTCAGAGCCTGCTKCGTGCTCTGTGCCCAGCCCATCTGGGTCCTCGTGCCGGGCAGCTGTGCCTCAGGCGAGATGTGGCAGGGCTGGGGGAGGGGGCACAGGGCTCTGGGTCACAGCAGCTSTTGGGGGGACACACACCTGACACCCCTTTATGTCACAGCTATGCTCAGACCTCGGTCAGGGCCAGTCTCACCTTCCATCGCGGCTCCAGGGTGGGGCGGAACCTGCGTCGCAAGCTCCTGGCCGTCTTGCGGCTGAAGTGCCACGGCCTCTTTCTGGACCTGCAGGTGAGYGGGGCACACGCCCAGAGCCCCAGCACCAGGCCTTTACGGCTGGCCAGTCCTGTAGTTCTGTGTGTGCAAGTGTGTGTGCATGTGAATACCCGTCTGCGTTTCTCCTTATGTATACATGTGTACCCATGTGCAGGTGTGTATGGGACTRCACACGAGCACGTGAGGAGCACGTGTGCGTGTGTGAGAGCAGCATGTGTGCACGTGTGCATGTCGAGTGCTGCATGTCCCGCCAGGTGCTCCTGCCCCTGCTTGTCCCTTCACAGTGACCCTGGGAGGGCCTGGCTGGACTTAACTGGGGGGGGGGCCTTCTCGCCCCCGCCTAACTCTGACTGATGGGGATGGAGTAGAGGGTGGCCGTCCAGGGCCCTTGCTGACTGCCCTGCTCTCGGCGACTCCAGGTGAACAGCCTCCAGACGGTGTGCGTGAACATTTACAAGATCTTCCTGCTGCAGGCCCACAGGTGGGTCGTGGGTCCAGGCTGCCAGCAGCAAAGGCGCAGGGCTAGCAGTGCCCACTCGGTGCTTGTCCTGCAGGGGCAGCAGGGGCTCTGCTCTGCTGGGGCTGTGGGAACCCAGGGGGTAAGTGGATCTGCAGCAGGAGCCACCCTGCACGGCTTCACGTTCTCTCCAGTCGTGGACRTACTTCCGCCATTGCTGGACACTTGCAGGCCCACACAGCCTGGCGTCCACTGAGCTGGGCAGGAGAGTGTTGGTGGAAGGTACCCAGCATGCAAAGGCCTCAGACCCTGTGGATTTGGGGACCCAGGGGGCAGAGCATGGAGCTTGCAGCCAATGAGCATTGCCAGCCTGCACCCCAGGAGGGTGTGGCAGAGAGGACGCCGACTGGTGCTCAGGCTTCCAGAGCTTCTGGAAACTCCTGCCTGTGGCTGGTCCTGAGAACTGAGGGTGGGTGGGTGTTGATGTCACCGAAAGCTCAGTCCTTGTCCCCAGTGCCAATGTAGTCACGAGGACAGAGTTTTGAGAAAAAGGACAAAGTCGTGTGGCTTTGCTGGCCAAGGAGATGGGGCCCCTGTTCAGAGGCTGCTCTGCCCCGTCAGGGAACAGGGTTTTAGAGGTGACTCCAGGCTGCGCTCCAGGTGCACTAACTCCGGGGGGAGGGGGTGGTGGTCAGAATGGGCTTGCTAATTTGGGAGATTTCTTGGATATTCTGGGCCATCCCCAGAGTCTGGTGCTCTTGGGGTGGGTGTGTGCTCGAGGACTGTAGCTCGGGTGACTGGATACCTGGGCCTGTGTGGGGAGGAAGGGTCACTATGTCCCTGAGACTAGGGAGAGGAGAGGAAGAAACAGTCTCAGCACAGAAGCCAGGGCTGCCTTCAGAGCCTGGAGGGGACAGTGGCGTCCAGTCCCGGGATGGTTGCTGGGCCTTTGAAATGGACAGGGTCTCCACCATGGGTGGGGCCTCACTCCTTGACCCTGACACCAAGTCATTTGTGGCACAGCAGGCACCCAGCAAGGGACTGTGTGACAACTCAAACAGGAAAACTTGTGCCCACATGGCTACGCCGAAGTGGTCATCACACTCGTGCACAGATGGGCATTCACACCTGCTGCACACGGTGTGCGTGCTGGTGATCCCCCAGGCCTGCCCTCCTCCCCGCAGGTTCCACGCGTGTGTGCTCCAGCTCCCGTTCAGCCAGCAGGTTCGGAAGAACCCCCGGTTCTTCCTGCGCGTCGTCTCTGACACGGCTTCCTGCTGCTACTCCATCCTGAGAGCCAGGAACTCAGGTGCAGGGCTGGGACCGCACGCCTGGGCCGGGCGCCCGAGGGGGGTGTGGGCTGGGGCTCCACCACAGCTGTCGGCCTCCCCTTGCTCCCCCAGGGGCGTCGCTGGGGGCCAGGGGCGCTGCCGGCCCGTTTCCCTTGGAAGCAGCACAGTGGCTCTGCCACCAAGCCTTCCTGGTCAAGCTGGCTTGTCACTGTGCCACCTACAAGTGTCTCCTGGGGCCGCTCAGAACAGGTAGGTGTGGTAGGAGTGAGGCCCTGTCCTCAGAGACCACCGCCCTCCCTGCTCCCGGGCCTCAGCGAGGTCCTCAGCTCAGGTGGTGGCAAACGGCCCCCTCYTGCCCTGGCTTGGCTCCCTCGTCAGCCGCTCTGGGCCTTTTGTCTGGCCCCAGACGTAGGGCCGCTGACCTTGGGTGGAGGCTCCTGCCCTGGTGCTGGGCAGGGCTCAGCTTCGATGTGCCTCCTGTCCTAGGGCTGGGCTGGAGGACGCTCTGACTCTTCTGGATGGGGTCTGAGTTCTGTCCCTCTTTTTTCTGCAGCCCAGACACAGCTGTGTCGGAAGCTCCCTGAGGCCACCTTGGTGGCCCTCAAGGCCGCAGCCGACCCCGCCCTGACCACAGACTTCCAGACCATCCTGGACTGACCCTGCCTCCTCCCTGCCTGGGCAGTGTGGGCTGGATCCGTGTCACTGGAGGGCCAGCCCACCTGAGGCTGCAGTGCTCCGGGGAGCCCATRTCCATGTGGCAGGTGGGCTCTGACCCTGGGCCTGCTTTCTGTGGACGGTCGGCCCCTCCCTGGTGTGCTCTAGGAAGCAGAGCCCACCCGCTGAGACCCTCTGATGACTGGGGGCTCCTTGGGCCTCTGACCTCCCAGAGGCGGCAAGTGGGGCCCAGTGTGGGCAGCAGGATGTCCAGTGGTTGAGCAGAGCTGCCCTGGCCCGCTGTGCTGGGAGCCTGGGGCTGTCCTGGGGCCCTGGTGCTCCTGCTCCTCGCTGGCCACATCCCCCCGGAGCGTCTCCATCACCGTGGCCACAGCCAAGGTCCACTCCTGATGAGCCTCTCCCAGAGCAGAGGCCCCCGAGTGCCTCACCACACTGCCCACACCTCTCTTGTCCCCTGGGGCCTGAGTGTCTGGCACCATCTGCACACCCTGGCTGGAGTGGAGACTCAGGGGACAAGGTGTCCTGCCCAGCCAGGCTGTTCCTGGGTGGGGTCCCCACAGGTGTGCCCACGCGTGCCATAGAGAACACCCTCTGGATCTTTGAGTCTTAAGGTCTCGTGTGTGTCGTGATGGCACTGCRTACTGTAGCAGGCATGGGTGGGAGTCCCCGGAGCAGGGCCCCCCCGGCCAACATGGCAGACCCTGGGGCAGGTGCTGGCTCATGGGAGCTGGAAGGAGGCCCTTCCAGGAAGCTGAAGGGAGGGTCAGGAACAGGTGGGGCAGCTGCAGAGGGCACTGGGAGGAGCAGCCCCACTGTGGGAGCCAGGCTGCCTGTGGAGGGCCAGGTGGCCTCAGGAAGCTGTGAGCAGCCCCAGGGTTCCAGGACGTCCCCAATGGGACCGCAGGACATGTACCGCGAAGGGGCTTCCGTGTGATGCCTTGAGCCCTGTGGGGTTTGGCAGCAGGGAGCTGGCCTGTTACCACTGCCACCACAAGCAGGTCTGAGCAGTTGGGCCAGCTGTTGACCTACACAGTAGCATTGTTTCTAGGGATGTTTGGTTCAGGTTTGCTCAGAATCACTTGCATCCATGATTCTCTAGGACCGAGGGTGGGGTGCAGCTCAGTGGTGAGCTCCTTAGGACCATGGGTGGGGGTGGGGGTGCAGGTCAGTGGCTGAGCTCCTTAGGACCATGGGTGGGGGTGGGGTGCAGGTCAGTGGCTGAGCTCCTTAGGACCATGGGTGGGGGTGGGGCTGCAGCACAGTGGCTGAGCTGTGCTTCACATGCCGGGGCCCTGGACTGCATCCCAGCACCACAAGCACAAAGCGCCAATCACAGGGCCAAGTGAGGCTAACAGCTCTAAGGGGAGAGGTACCAGTCGGCCTCCTCAGGTCCAGCCTTGGTGGATGCTGTCTCACATGCATCCTGTAGACCTGTTTGTGGAGCCAGCGAGGTTCAGAATGGAGAAGGAATAAGAGGAGCTGGAGGAATGACTGGGCAGCCAACCAGGGACTGCCAGGCCAGGGCTTGCTGCCCTGCCTCGCCTGCTGTCACCCTAGGTGCTGGCTCCCTGCAGGGCTCTGGGTGCTCCCCTATGAAGGACACTGTAGAGCTGGGTGGGTGGGGATTGCAAAGCTTCGTGGGCTTCAGATCCCCCTAGAGCTTGTGGTGGGCAGAATAAGGAACCTCAGTGTCCATTCTCCAGAGCGGAGTATGGGATAAAGGGTCTCAGCAGCTGACCTGACACCAAGGAGGTGGTTCCGAGCTGGTGGCCCTGTCATCACAAGGGTTCCTGGGAGGGGAAAAGGAGGCTGACCCAGTGTGTTGGCATGGCCTGGCCAGTGCCCTGGTTTGGGCGGAGGAGACCCCTTGGGCTTCTGGCCCCAGAGCTGTGACAGTACCTGTGTGGTCAGTTGCCGTGCCTCAGGGACTGGTCAAGTCAGCAAACAGAAGCCACACGGGCCTGTTCCTGAAGGTGTCTGACCCCACCTGGTGGCTTTGTGGCAGGTCCCACACCTGCAGCTCTGGGTAGGGCACCCTGCCCTTCCTGTGTGCCAGTTGGCTAAGAGTCACCAAGGGATGCGGGTGCCGACCTGGGGCTGGGGTGGTAGAGCAGCTGGGGCCCCTCAGCTACACCCAGGTGTGCAGAACCGGGTCTGCCCCTGAGTGGTGGCCTCAGCTGGGGGTGTGGCGGGAGAGCAAGAACAGGGGCTCATGGGGCCCACTTCTGCTCAGATCAGGCACCAGGCTCCTTCCTGGACTTGGGCTCCCTGCCCTGGACGGTGGATCTGCTGTCCCAGGCCCGTCCTTTGTGGGACGGGACCGTTTCCCTTCATCTGGGGAGTGCATCTGGCAGAACCACTTGACCCCAAAGACTGGGGAATCACCTCTCCACATGTGATCCCAGCTGGAGTCCACGGTGGAGCTGGGCCGAAGGGGAGTATGGGGAGGGTACCTGTGGCTAGCCAGGCCATGTCCTTCTGAGCTGATGGACCAGCAGTTGAGGGGAAATGTCCATCTCTGAACTGACCAGCCAGTGTGTAGCCACTTAAGCTCCAAGTCATCACTGCTGCTTCAAAGGAGAAAGTCCTCTGGGAGGACAGATCCTCATTCTGGACCCTCTRCTGGGTGGACCCCATTGGTCCCCACCTGGCCTGTCTCCAGGAGCCAGCCTGGGTGCTTGCAATAGACAGGACCTTGCACAGGGGTGCGTCCATGCAAGGTCAGACCATTCGGCCCTGCTCCCTAGGGTCTGAGCCTGTCCACCCCTCCATGGATGCTGCTCAGCCTCCTCCTGCTCTCAGGGAATCAGCAGTGACCTTGGACAAGTGGTGTGTTTGGTGGGGTGGACATGCCTSTGCCATGTTTTAGACCACCTGTCTGTCCAACAGTGATCCACCAGTTGGATCCCCTCCTGTCCATCTTTCTTTCTACCCAGTAGTATCCACAGCTGCTTTGAGCATGTGAATAGGATGGAACTTTCTAGGTGTGCTGTCCCAGCCCCACCCCTTCCTCTCAGTGGCTGGACAGGGGCACAAGTCCTGCCATTTCCAGCACCACTGTGAAGTGTCCCCTCACTGGGTGGCACTCCTGCTGTTCCTGTGAAGTTCTACACCCAGAGTCACTTGGGCTGGGGAGCAGGTCCCGCCCGGCACCCAGTGTTGCGAAGCGTGACAGGAACATAAAACACATCCCTGGAGGTGGCTGGCCGACAGCCACCATTTGTGTTGTCTAGGGTCAGTGGTGGGACCTTCAGGCCCCGTGTGGGTGGGGAGAGCACACTGCCCCTCCTCACCATCCTGTGGTCCGCTGCAGCCCCCTCCTCCTGCTGCCACCCTCCAAGCCCAACCAGCCTCCCCTGCAGTCTAGACCCCAGGGAAGGGCCATCTCACCCAGAACATGGACCCCAAACACTTGCATAGCCCTGGAGAGGCCCTACCTAGGGAAGACACCCAAGAGCAGAACTCAACGGGGAGGGTCCAGTGGAGCCCGAAGCCCACCTTTGGGCTTARCTACTTCTGAGGACCTTTAGTATGAGTTCATCTTCTGCCAGGTGCGATGGGGAGAGGACAAGGTGCTGAGTTTCAGAGGAGCTCATGGGGGGGCAGGATTGTGCAGCTGAGCCCAGGGAGGTCTGGCCTCACCGTATGGTGGACTGTCTTTGTAGCACATTGATCTTCACATTCTCCACCTCATGGAGGTGTGGAGATGGAGGGGCCAGAGCAGGACCTACCCGGTCTGTGGGCACAGCACTTTGGGCTCCCTGTAGCCGATGCCCTGTTGGACACACAGCTGCCCAGCAGGAGGCAGCACTGAGTGTGCCTTTGCTCTGGGGTCCAAACTGGCCTTGGGCAAGGAATGCCCAGACCACCCTGAATCTGTGTTGGCTAGGGTTTCAGCACCATGGACAGCGCTGCCTGGCCRGGCACCAAGGAGAGAGGTGCTGCTGTCTGTGCCGGGGTCCCTGCAGAGGTAAGAAGCCACAGGTGTGCATGGCCCCTGTCCAGGCCCCACACTTCAGACGACCCAGGCTCTGCCTGAAGGGAAAGGGCAGCAAGAGAGGGGGAGGAGTTGGGTGAGACGTGCCCTGCTGGGGCTCAGTGTGAGGCCAGCTGTGGCCAAGGCGGTTCAGGGGCTCCGCAGGGGCCTTGCCAGGCAGGTGGCTGGGTTGGGTCCCGAGTTGGGACAGTTGACTGTCCCTCTCCCRTCTAGTACCTTCTTAAAAGCAGGCACTTGGGGCAATGGCCATGGCAACGTGCAGGCTCCCTCAGCAGAGGCCCCGGGGCTCCTGCGCTGCCCGTGCCAGCAGCCGTGTCTGCCCTCAGGTCCCTTGAGCGGTGCTCTCCCAGGCTGCTCTGGGTGAGGAGAGAGCACGGCTGGCCCCTGGGGACAGCGAATGGCCACAGAGACTGCAACCCTGCGGGACCTGGGTTGGAGGAGCAGCCTCACGTGGATGGCCAGGACCCAGGGATCAGACACCGTGGCTGCCTGGACCCATGCGTTCTGGGGCGTCTGAGTCCCTTTGCAGGCAGCGTGGACACGGTGGAAGCTGGGAAGCAACGCTCGCGTGGTCTCGTGGCAGCAGGAGTGTAATGAGGCTGGGTCTGAGGCTACAGGCCGGCAGTCCCTGCTCCCATCCGCCCTGGCCCATCCCTCAGCAGCCCCTGCCCTCCTCTGGCTTCATGCTGGTGTCTGGTTGTGTGTCCTTCAGCCTCCGCCTGTGCTGGGCCAGCAGCTGGGCCAGTGCGACAGCTGGGACCCACAGCAGGGGCAGGAAAGACAGGAGCATGCAGATGACTTGCACCCAGCCTGGGTAGAGCTTCTCCTCCCGAGAGGGGAACTGCTCCTGTCAGGAGGAGAGCATGCTCAGCAGGGCGCCCAGGACAGAGGCTGCGTCCCCCGGCCACAGGCACCTGGGACTGAGCCAGCCGTCAGCCCCTGGAACTATGGTGGCTGCTTCACCTGGTCCCTTCCCGAGACAAAG